GCCGCCCGCGCCGTCGTCTACTTCGTGGCCATGATGTACATGTTCCTGGGGGTGTCCATCATCGCCGACCGCTTCATGGCGTCCATCGAGGTCATCACCTCCAAGGAGAAGGAGATCACCGTCACCAAAGCCAACGGCGAGACCAGCGTCGGCACCGTCCGCATCTGGAACGAGACCGTCTCCAACCTGACGTTGATGGCGTTGGGTTCCTCGGCTCCCGAGATCCTCCTCTCCGTCATCGAGGTGTGCGGACACAACTTCCAGGCGGGAGAATTGGGTCCCGGTACCATCGTGGGGAGCGCGGCCTTCAACATGTTCGTGGTGATCGCCGTCTGCGTCTACGTCGTCCCCAGCGGCGAGAGCCGTCGGATCAAGCACCTGCGGGTCTTCTTCGTGACGGCGTCCTGGAGCATCTTCGCCTACGTTTGGCTCTACCTCATCCTGGCCGTCATCTCGCCGGGAGTGGTGCAGGTTTGGGAAGCGCTCCTCACCCTCGTCTTCTTCCCGGTGTGCGTGGTGGCGGCGTGGGCGGCCGACAAACGCCTCCTCTTCTACAAGTACGTCTACAAGCGTTACCGCGCCGACCCGCGCAGCGGCATCATCATCGGCGCCGAGGCCGAGCTCCCCAAGGGCATCGAGATGGACGGCGGCTTCCCGGAGGCCGAAACCGGCGGGATGACACCGGCACCCGAGGAGAAGGAGTTGGATGAAAGCCGGCGGGAAGTGATCCAAATCCTGAAGGATCTGAAACAGAAACACCCGGAGAAGGAGTTGGAGCAACTGGTGGACGTGGCCAACTACTACGCGTTGCTCCACCAACAGAAGAGCCGGGCGTTCTACCGCATCCAGGCCACGCGGTTGATGACCGGCGCCGGCAACGTCCTGAAAAAACACGCGGCCGAGTTTTCCAAGAGATCTTCCGCCCTCTCGGAAGCGCCGTCGGAGGCGGAGGAAGAACGTTGTAGCCGGATTTTCTTCGAGCCGTGCCTCTACCATTGCTTGGAGAACTGCGGGTCGGTGAGGCTGTCGGTGGCGTGCCGGCACGGCGCCGAGGCCAACCACACCTTCTACGTGGACTACAAGGCGGAGGACGGTTCGGCCAAAGCGGGGTCGGACTACGAGTACAGCGAAGGGACGTTGATCTTCAAGCCGGGGGAGACGGAGAAGGAGTTGACCATCGGCATCATCGACGACGACATTTTTGAGGAGGACGAGCACTTCTTCGTGCGTCTCCTCAACCTACGGGCGGGCGACGCCGAGGGAATGTTCGAGGGCGAGTCGGCCGAGCGGCCGGCCGGCCGGTTGGTAGCCCCGGCGGTGGCCACGGTGACCATCTTGGACGATGACCACGCCGGTATCTTCGGGTTTCGGGAAAGGGCGTTGAGGGTCAGCGAGTGCCAAGGGACGGCGGAGGTGACGGTGGTG